ACACATGATGAACTATTAATTTACTTAATTTGTATAAGCATTGTATTAAAAATTTCTTTTTTTAGCTACGTGGTGATATATTCAATTATGGTTACACAAAATTATTTTAATTAATGATCGGCAAGAGAAATGACATTTCCACTGACTGATAATAATATAATATAATTATAAATAAATAAATAATAGTATAATAATATAATTATAAATAAATAATAATTTTTATTTTTATTTTTATATTATAGCTATATTTACTTATATATTAAATATAACAATAAAAAAACAAAATACATATAAGAACTAAGTATTTATGAAATATAATTATTTCTTTAAAGAAAAAATCAACCTGTTACCTATATAATTACATTATTATTAAAAATAATGATACAACTAAAATCTCTAGTCAGAACCCATATTTTTCTTTCTAATAAAAAGCTAACTATATATAAATACTGTTAGGTATAGAATGTTTAACTTAAGGTAAATTTTATTTAAAAAAATGATAATAAAAAATAAAACAGAAAACTAAAAAACTATAAAATAAAAAGTTCTGTTTTTAATTTAACTAATTGCTAGGTAAACTAAGCTATTACTTATTATGCAACTTTGTTTTTTTCTTTTAAGCTTTCTATTTATATTTGGTAGTTTTAGTTTCTTTTAATTCTTTCATCCTTTTATTATATTATTTAACAGTGTTGGCCAGTGACCCAAATGACCTCAAATAACTCAAATGACTGGTCACGTGTCATTTGGGTCATTTTAACATTAAATGACAAATGACTTAGTCATTTAAAAATTACATTATAATTCTGGCCAGAACTATTCATACAATTTCACTATTTCATGGATAAAATTTTCACATGATATTAGAAGTTCATAATTTTGGCCGGCATCATTAACTTAACCTGAATTATAAAGCATTAATTTTAAATGACTCAAATGACAAATGACCTAAATGACTAGGTCATTTGAAGGTCATTCAGAAGTCATCTCAAAATAGGCAAATGACCTAGTCATTTGCCATCACTGCCATTTAATGTTGCTGCCCAAAACTCATTTAATGATAAAATTCAAAAATCTGAAACTTAAAAACTTTATTTTTAATGAAAAAATTGGTAAATCCAAAACTTTCCTAAATTATAATAGTTTCAGATTGAATTTTGACTAAACTAAAATTTTGAAAAAATAGTTTTGGCAAGCATCTTTAATACTATTGGTTGATAATATTCATATTAAAAATTAGATTATAACTAATTTTCACCTGGAGTGATATCTCTCGGGTGATATCACCCATCGATTTTATTATAATTTAATAAGTTTAAATAGGTGATTTAATCTAGGTGATTTCGCCTATTAATTTTATTAATAAATTTTATTTTAATATAAGTGATATCACCTGAAAAACGAAATTAAATATTTTGCGATGATATAATGTTTACATTGATCGTGGTACTATTGTTATACTGCATTGTTATCGTTATTGTATTTACGAACTATTTCAAAAATTCTCACTCTGATTTCGTTAAAAAAAACTTTTATCTTGTTTCGCTTCTCTAAAGAATTAGTTTTCGAATAAAATTAATAAAATTAGTATCACTTTTGTTTCTATTTGCTGATATCACTTACATAAAACTGCAATACGGAACTTTAAAGTCACTTACAATGGAAAATATCGTTTTAAATACAAACTTTTCTTATAATAATTTGTACGATAGTTCCGACCCACTATTTAACTCTTATTATGACTCTTCATATAATGATTCTGATCTTTTATCAAACTCTCGCCATAATTCTTCGGTTGATACTTTTAACCCGCTATTTAATTTCTTATATGATTTTTCTGACTTGTTTCTTGAAAATGATGAGATAGCTAATGAAATTCAAATAGGAAATGAAAGTTTAGTAGATTTTTTAAAAGATCATATGAAAGACCGTCAGAAAGATAGTGAGTATTATGATCAACGAATCTAACCTGTTATTGAATTATTCAATACTTAATTTCTTACATGATTTTCTGATCCGTTTCTCAAAATCATGAACAGATAACGAAATTCAACTAGGAAACGATATTATAGGAAATTATTTGGATGATCATCAGGAAGAAAATAGTGAGTACTACGATCAAAAATTATAACCTGTTATTCTGTTCTTATTATTTGATTTTACCAATCTGATACTTGATTTCTCATATGATTCTTTTAATCTATTCCTTAAAAATTATGAACAGATAACGAAAATCAAACAGGAAATGAAAGTATAAATACAGTAAGAAATCATTTGAAAAATTATCATCATGAAGAAGAATATGACGATAGTGAATATGAGAGTGAGTATGAGAGTAAAGAAGAAAACGGATTAGAATTAAATCAAGGAAAAGAATTTAGTTCATGGGAACTTGCTGAGTCATACCTTAATGAATATGCAAAACAACAAGGATTCTGCCTTCGTAAAAAAAGGCGTATACCAGATCCAAATGATAAAACAATTACTAAACGCAGAACGTATGAATGCTCACATGACCAAACACATGAAACTCAAAAGACTATCTTAGTGGAAAATAGGAGGGATAGAGATTCTGAAATGATTGGATGCTCTTGGCATATTAATCTTGCATTTCTTAAATCTTCAAATGGTGTTCGGATTAACAGTATAATTGGTAAACACAATCATGATATGAACCTACTTGTTGGTGAAATAGCACCAAAATATCGAAAATTAACTAACAAAATGATTGAAAAAGTTAAATTTTAGATGATTCAAGGGAAAATGGGCATATCAACTCAATACAATCTCCTGGTGGCCTTGTTTCCAAATAAAGAGTCCCGTTAAAGCGGGGTAGAATCATGTGATTTAAAATTATAATGATTTGATAAATTTTTTATAAACTAAAATTAAAGTGAACTTGAAAATCATTAAATAAGTGTATTTCAGCCTGCTTCACAAGTTTACTTAGGGAGAAAAAGTGGATTTTGAACAATGTTTTTGACTTTACATATGAGCAACGAATTTTGCTGATCATACCCAAAAAAAGATAGATCAATTTTAACGAAATTGAAAAAGTTGAATAAATTGAAAACGGTGTTCTAAACCTCATTTTGTGCTCTAAGTAAACTTGCAGAACAGGTCAAAATGCACTTAATATATGTTTATTTGGAAGGTTTTATATATAATAAAGAGTTTTATTTAAAAAAAAGAAAAATTTTGAAAGTCACGTGATTCTACCCTGCTTTAACGGTCTCCCAGATAAAGTAATTAACAAAAAGGATTTAAGTAACGCTATTCAGCAATTTAAAAAACAAGCAAAACCTAATAAAAATGATGCATGTCAAATGCTTACCGATCTATATTTGAAGAAAGAAATTGATACAAGATGGATTATAAAGCAGCGTTTTGACCTTGAAGAAAGAAGGTTAAATTCATTATTTTGGATGTCTCCTGACCAAGTAAATGCTTATGAAAGATATCATGATATTGTAATTATTAATACAACATCAAAAACTAATCAATTTGATATGTTGTTGATGCTAATTATAGTGGTTGATAATAACTTCAAAAGTTTAATAGTAGCAGCAGCTGTTTTAGAAGATGAGACTGAAGATACTTTTTCGTGGATTTTACAAAAATTAAAAAATTCATGTGACATAACACCAACAGCCCTATATTCTGATGCTGATCCGGCCTTAATAACGGCTGTAAAAAAAAATTATTCAGTAACACAGCATTTTCATTGTATTTTTCATATAGATTTGAATTTAAGAAAAAAACTTAAAGGAAAATTACACGATCAATTTGAACTTTTTCGTGCTAAATTTTTAGCAATGCGTAATTCTTTATGCCATAAAAAGTTTGAAATAGAATGGAAAGCACTTACTGACAAATTTCCAGCTTGTGAACAATATCTTACAAGAGTTTTATATCCTTGTAAACGTAGTTGGGCAAGTTACGCTATCAACCAAAATTTCACTGCAGGGATTCAAAGCACACAACGGGTAGAAGTAATGAACAAAATAATTAAAGATAAATTGAATAGATCTTCATGTTTAACTGATGTTGTTAAAGAAGTTCAAAAAACATTTGATCAACAATCAAAAAAAGCAATACTAAGTGAATGTAAAAATGAAATTCCAACAAAAGGAATACCATCTATAATGGATGAATATTTTCCAGAACTTGATAAGATTTTGCGAGAGTATTTGACACCACAAATTCTTCAAAAACAACGTGATCAAATTATACTTCTCCGCTAATTAATTACGTCGTATTTCGGCGAACGGACCAATTCACTATTTATTATAAAATTACTATGAATTAATTACGTCTGTCAAAATACATTACGTCTGTCAAAATAAATTTAATTAGTATTTTGTCATTTTGACGAAAAGTATAGATCAAATTGCTCAATCATTATGCTATAATACAATATTGATTAAAGATTGGTTACCACTTTTGGACGTAAGTTACTAATAGTTAATTAAAGTGAGAACTTAATGTTAGTATTAATAATAGTAATAACAGTTACTAACAACTAAAAAATATTTTTTTTTTTTAGATTGGAGATGATTTTTATCAACAAAAAATGGCTAGAAAAGATGATTATGACCAACCTCAATCTCTATTTTCTTCATTAATTGAAAATATATCACACAATAGTATTCAGCAAGTATGGAAAGTAACTAGACATCGTGGACAAAAATCAGAACCACAATATGTTATTCTTCTTAATGATAGTTCACATTTATGTACTTGTCTTTGGCTTATTAATAGAGGAATTATATGCAGGCACTTTTTTCGGGTTATGTCTTATTCAACTACTGCACAGTTTCATATATCACTTGTTCCTCAATGATGGTATAATAATAGTAAATATAATGAACATGAGAAAAATGTAATGCCAATATATCATATTGGAGAAAATAAGTTGAGTGAGTTAGAACAGCCCATACCTCAATTATCATTTCAACATCTCGCAAATTTTAGGCAAACTCCTAATATTGTATAACTGCAGGGTCCTAAACAAAAGTATGGATTTGGTATGGGATATGCTAAAAAAGCTCTTGATTTGGCTATTCGAACTGATAAAGTTGATGAATTTGTTAATCAAGTAAAATGTTTTATTGAAAATACAAAAGTAGAATTATCCGAACATCAGGAAAATATAGTTTCTATGCATATTGGTGATCCATTAAGAGTACAACATAAAGGTAGACAACCTAATAGGTACAGATCATGTGGTGAACCCCAAAAAAAGAAAGCAAGGCATATGCGAAATATAACTAATATCATTAATAATGAAAATGAAGAGAGAGTTGTAGCAACTCAAGCTGGTAAAACAAGAGAAAGACATTGTAAAAAATGCCATCAAACTGGTCATTATGCCCCACAATGTCCAAATGTTTAATAATTTTTTTGAGATGTATGGGTCATTTTATTAAATATCATATAATAATAACAGATAATAAAATTTTTTATATGAGTGAATTACCGACTATTTTTTTTTTCAAGTGAAATCATCTGATTTACAATTAAATTTTTATAGGACATGAAATCACCTGATTTTTTTAATTAAATTTTTATAGGACGTGAAATCACCTGATTTTTTTAATTAAATTTTTATAGGACGTGAAATCACCTGATTTTTTCAATTAAATTTTTATAGGACGTGAAATCACCTGATTTTTTCAATTAAATTTTTATAGGACGTGAAATTACCTGGGTGAAATCACCCTAGGTGATCTTCACCCGGAGAGAAAGTTAGCAATAGTCTAAAAATTATATCATTATTCACTAAATATTTCAGTCTTATTTATTTTATTTTATTAATTAAAAGGTAATTTTTTGTATATAGGTATTTTATATGTTTATAATTTGCTTTAGTTGCTGATTTTCTTTTAAAAAATCTTTTTTATGTAAATTTATATATTATATAAAAATTATCTTTATCATATATATGGTTAAAGATAATTTTTTAATTTAAACTATTAAATATGCACTGATTTGAGACTAAAGTTCTGTATAAACCAGCTTGAGCTGAGCTACAGTCTGGCTTAGCTCAGGTTGAAAAAAAAAATTCTGGCCTGAGCCAAAATAAGTTAAGCCATAAAAATTTCAGTTCAAGCTAAAATGAATTGAACTGAGTCATGAAAACCATAGTTCGAGCCAAGCCAGATTTGAGCTTTATCTTCAGTAAAACGTTTTGCAACATTTTTTATTAAAATATTAAAAAAAATGTTGCAAAACATTTTTTTTTAATATAATATTACAAAAAAAACATTTTCACAACATTTTTTATTAAACAATTAAAAAAAATGTTTTTACAATATTTTTTATTAGACAATTAAAAAAATGTTTTTGCAATATTTTTTATTAAACAATTAAAAAAAATGTTTTCACAACATTTTTTATTAAATAACTAAAAAAACATTACAAAACATTTTTTTTAATATACACTACTTAGACAAAAGTAGCGAAAATTCATATTTTATTAATTACTTGAAAATGTACATAATAATAATACCTGAAATTTTAATATGTGATAACGTAAACAATACAGAATATATATTCAAAATTTTATTGTTATAGCATTTATACAACTACATTAATTAAAGAAAACCCAGAAAGAAATTTTAACAATTATCTATATATTATATAATAAAAATAGTCTGATACTGTCAGTTTATTAGGAATTATACATAATAATAATGATACCAGTAATTTTAATATGTAGTAGTACAGGTTCTTTAATTAATATATATACATCAAATATCTTTTTTCTAGTTTTTGTTTTTATATGAATTATAAAAAAAATTGAAAGAAAATTAAATTATAAAAACAATAGTACAGTATGTACTGTTGCTAATTACCAAATTTTATTTTTTAATTAATATAGTTGTATGAAGGCTAGAACTATGAAATTTTGAATATATATTCTTTATTATCTATGTTATTATATATTAAAATTTCAAGTATTATTAATATGTATGTTTTTGAGTAATTAATAAAATATGATGAATTCCTGCTACTTTTGTCCAAGTAGTGTATTATGCAAAGAATATTTTTGCAACGTTTTATTAAAATATTAAAAAAAAACGTTGCAAAACATTTTTTTTTAAATATATTATTATAAAAAAAATGTTGCAAAACATTTTTTTAAAATATACTATTATACAAAAAATGGTTTATAATATTTTTTGTATGACAACTCAAGCCAGTTTGAGCTTTTTAAGCTAAACTTATTACTGGCTTGAACTTTTTGAGTCAAGCCTATTACTGGCTCAAACTCTTTTCAAGTTAGCTCACAAGTCACTAAACCAATTTAATCATGGCTCAGCTCAACTTAGATTGAAAAGTTTAAGCCAACTTGTAAGATAGCTTGATTTATGCAAAACTTTACTTGAGACTTTGTTAAATAAAAATGCTTGGTTATTTAACTTAGTAAACTGCTCTTTGAGTATTGATTTTTTATTTTAATAAATAATGGGAAGAGTAAGAAACTACCAGTATATTACTATTACTAAGTAGTCTTCACTTTTTCATATTATTGTTTATACCTTTAAATCATCTCTTTATAAATAAATCTTTTTTTTTTATATTAGAATTTAATTCTTCTTTTTTATATTCTAAGTAAATTATTCAATACTGTATCAGCCTATTATCTTCATGTCTTTTATAGGTAAAGCTCTACATAAGCCAGCTTGAGCCGAACCAAGGGCTAGCTCAGCTTGGCTCAGCTTGGCTTGTTCCAAAAGCTCACAAACTAGCTCATTTTCAAAATCATATAAAATTTATTATAACTAAAATTTCAAAACATGATAACTTCACCAATATTGCTCTCCAAATTTAATGATTTTACTACCATTAGATTCATCTTATCAAGAGGAATCGAATGGTAGTAAATTTATTAAATTTGGAGCAATATTGGCGAAGTTATCACGTTTTGAAACTTTAGTTTTAATTTTCAATAAATTAAGCCAAGCCAGCACCAAGTCAAACTATAACTGCAGCTTGGTTTGATTTGGCTTGGCTTAGCTTAAAAGCTCACAAGCTGGCTTGACTCATGTAGAGCACTATTTATAGGTTTTTTTCCTTTATATACAAGTTGTTTTATATAACTAATACCTTTATGCTTTAAATAAATCTTTTTTTACTTGCTATATATATCTTCATTAAATATAGCTTTTACTAATGAAACCTTAAGTAGGGTTAAATGGTCTGTTTCTTACATTTTCAACAAACTTTTTTATTGTTTAATAGTATAATAACATATAATTGTAAATGCAAGTTATATGATAATTTAAAACTAAAATACCATATAATGTATCTGATACTGAAGTTAATCGTTTAATTAATAATTAATATTTTTCTAATAATAAAAACTAAAGTCTGTTAAAGTATATAATTTTCATTTCCTTTGATATTAGTAATATAAGTATTACTATTATACTTGTGTTTTAGTATTATAAAAATACATAATTATATAAGGGTTTAAAATTTGTGTGCACATACGCATATGCGCACTCCCATGGATATATTATATATAAAAGTCAAAAATGACATTCTAAACCCTTCATGGTTCATTAAGTAAAGTTGTAGAATGGGCAAAAATACACATAATAAATAAATTTTAAGGCTCTACAATATGTACGTAAGAGTTGCAGCATGAATATTTAAAAAAATCGGGATTTTACTAAAGTCATGATCAACAAATTTACTATATAAAAATTACCAAAAATGGAAGGGTGCGCACATGCGCAGGTGCGCACAAATTTTATTTCTATTATATAATTCTATAATTATTAAGTAATTTATTAGAAAAACTCTATACAGTCGACCTCCTATATAGTCACCTTTTGTATAATCACAACATATAAAATTCCCCTTTATAAGCACACCATATTTTAGCCCCAATGTACTAATAAATATATTAGAAAAACCTTCTCTATAATCACAACATATGACTTTTTTTATAATCACACCCTTTTTTTTTGGTTCCAAGGAGTGTGACTATAAAGGAGGCTGACTGTATTCTATAATTAATTTTAGACTTCATAATTAATTTCATATTATGAAAATATTTAGCCAGAATTAGCCTTAATTTTAACCAATTTATATATAAAAACTTTAATAAATAATAACTCAACATTTAAAAATCTGTTTGGGATAATCTTACTACCATTTAATTTATCTTGATAAGGCAATTTTAATAGTAGTAAGATCATTTAAATCCAATTACTAGATCATACTCTAATACTAATAACTTTTAAATATTTATAGCATAAATTGTCTCTATCATTATAATGAATTGAATAGTGTAAATTCATTTAAATTCAATCACTAAATCATGTTCTAACATCAAAAATCATTAAATAATTATAGTAATTTAACTCCATTAATATTAATATTATAGAAAAAGAATACATATTATTAGATTTAACTCAATAGAACAAATCGAATAGTAATAAAATCATTAAAATCTGATTACTAGATCCTGCAAAATTCACAATTTTGCACTATTATGCAAATTTTAGAATTTCAGAATACGTAATTAATTTTATAATATATAATTAATTAAATTAATTACAATTTTATAATTCAGATTTTGGATTTGCCAATTGAATTTTAGAAATAACTATAATTATCATAGTCAAATAGTTGGATATACAAAATTTAATATTATTTACATGCTTCTTATTACTAATAATATTATATAGGAGTTTATATTTCTTCATTAATATTCATTTGTTATTTATGAATATTTGTAATTATATGTTATTTTGGCCGTTCCAAATTAATAATTAGTTTAACGTCCTTTCCGGCCAAAAATTTTGAGGGGGACGGAGGGAATAATTTAAACAAACATGAAAATTAAACATATTAAAAATTTTGGAAATTTTTGGTAAAATCAAAAATTCTCGGTACTATTAAATTTTAGTAAAGAAGGGGGTGTTTTAAGCATATTTAAACATATCAAACATATATGTTTAAATCACCCTTGAATTTTTCAAAAATAGAGGGGGGGGAGGACGTTAAACTAAAGATTAAATTGGAACGGCCTTTTTCTTAAAAAATCAAATTCTATAAGGGCATAAGAATTGCCTTTTTTGATATTATATAATATATTTGTATCAGTCATATATGTAAGTGGTTCAGTTTCAAGATATATAATATTGATGGATAATCTAAAATTCTTATTAATTTTTTGGATGAAAATACCATACCAAAATGAAGAAAATAAAAAATATATATATAGTGAAGTGAAATAAAATGTTATTAAAAATTATTAATAAATGTTGCTGTCTAAAACTCATTTAATCATAAAATTCAAAAATCTGAAATTCAAAAACTTTATTTTTAATAAAAAATTGGTAAATCTGAAATTTTCCTAAATTATAATTAATTTCA